ATCAGCCAGCATCATCTGACCGTGTGGCAGCTCGGGCACGAAGGACTTCCGGTTTTGCTGCAAGAGTGGAGGAAAAAATGTTGAAACGACAAGCGACTATCTATCCGGCAATATCGAAACATGATTCTGAAGATCATCATATAGCTAATAAAATCGAGTCTGATTCTTGTCCAACTGGTTTGTTCAAAGAAGAAACTGAGCCAGTTGAAATTGGAGCGCGCAAGCTAGCTCAGCTCAGCACCGAGCCTAGCGCTCTTCGGTCAACCGGTGTTGGTCCTGGCGCCGCATCCCTGCAGCAGTCTCCAAACATGCGAGAGGAAGTCGTTTTCACACACGGGCGCCAAATAGATCCAACTGCGACACACGTCGGCGGTCCCAAAACTGCGTCCTCCACTCAGAACCATGGGGAAATCGTTGATCAATTTGAGCGCAATCGCGGCACAAGGGTCATGGGTGCGGGTAGTGCTCCTGCCTCGGGAGGAAGTGTTCAGGATAAGATTCGTGAGCTGGAGGAAAGAGTGGCCAGAGCGTCTACAACTTAATACCCCCCTCCTCAGTACATTGTACTTGTCGGCATTGGAGTATACCTCGTCTCGACTTGTTTAATGCTATGTCACGATTGTCAAGGCTACGGTGGCAAGAAACAGAAGGTAATAATCGAGGTGAAGGTAGAGCTCCATTAGATGGTGTGATACAAGTAAACGTTAAACCGACGCTGTTCTCAGAACAACTCAAAAGTCCTCCATGAAAAAATTAGTCCAGTAAAATATCAAAGGAGAGATGTAAGTAGAATGACGAAGATCGTGCCTGTCGAGGCTCTCAATCTCCTAGGAGAGCGAGTGCAGCTCGAAGCTCTTTCCGGGCCTGTTCGGCATCCTCGTAGTCCAGCGAGCTAATCGCGAATCGGCAATGCCGCTGAGCCTTCGCAATGATGCTTGGAGTCAACTCGAAAGGCTCCTTGGGTATCGGCGGAGGGGCAATGGGATGAGCATAAATTCCAGTGCTACGTGGGGGTGAATTCCGAGCGGGCGGCGGTGACGAATAGATATACGATCGTGGCGGAGAGAGGGACGGCGGAGGAATTGATGGAGGAACTCCTGATGAAGGATATACCTGTGTTGTGTGGGTTGGGCTGACTACAGTCGGAGGGAGTGGTGCGTATATGCTTGACGGACCGATATATTCCTTCGGCGGACTTGATTTGAGTTGCGACGGAGAAGGCGGAGGAGGCGACCCAGCAGTAGAAGGAGTGAAGTGTACCTTCTTGTCCGAATCCGGCGATCTCGACTTAACAGAGCTCTTGGAGGGGGACGACGAAGGAGAATGTTTACCTTCAAGCCCATCCGTCTTCTTCAGCACACCTTTGATGCTACCGTTGGACCCGATGGTATTGGAACTGCTGCCGCTTCCACTCCTTGGTTTTGTGCGTCCAACGTTCATCGGGCCATCGAATGCTGTACGACTTGGACTGGGTGCGTCCATGCTGAAGACATCCGCAACCTCCGTTCCTGGAGTGGCTGTGGTGCTCCATGTCCCGGAAGCAAGATCGCCGTGCTCAGCCCACCTTCCACGAGGTTGATCAACCATAGCTTGATGGTCAAAATTGGGCAGTGAGGACGACGGTGGAGAGACCGTTGATGTAGAGGAAGCATATGATGAACGAGGAGGGGAAGTGCCTGGCTTGTAAATCCGAGGAGATGAAGAAACGAGCGCGGAATCTGACGAATGGGCAAGGGGTAACATGGGCGGAGAGGGAATGGTGAACTGCTCCGTTCCCTCCTGCTGGCGTTTCAGTTCCTCTTGTTCTTCTGCCCAGCCCGGAGGACCACGAACGGGTTTGCGACCCTCACGGAAGGCTTTGGCGATATCCGCAGCCTTCCACTTAGCGTATCGGATCTTTTCCTCATTCTGAACAGAAGCCAGTGTGAGTCAGAGGCGTAAAGCCATAAAATAAGAAGTACGCACTGATTCAGTTATGTCTACTTGAGTGAACGTCTTCAGGACTTCGAGGAAATTGGCTGCCGCCAGAAACTTCTTGGCCGTGGATCTGCGAGAACGTCATTGAGATGTGTGCTCGATCGACGGCATGATACAGCGAACCTGGTTGTGCGACCACTACGATCCTCGTTGTCAGCATTCGCGAACACCTTGAGCGCGAAGTTCTCCACGTATGCGGAGCTGACGATCTCGACATCGAGAGCATCTTTGTGGCCAATAGCAGCTTTCATTTGCTCCAAAGTCCCAAGGAGAGCATAGAGAAGGTCGCGAGATTGACTATCGCGGGCCTTCAATGCGATGCCGACCTGGGCTGCATAGTATGCACCTGTGGGTAGGTGGAATCGGCTGGTGGTCTCCGAAAATTTGTGGAAGGGAGGCTCACACCAATAGGCGATAATGGGATCCTGTTTCTTGAGCTCCTCTGCTCTCTGGAGATAGGGCGTAATTGCCTTGAGTTCCGGGGGGACGGAAGGGAGACCGAGGATGGCGGACGACATGGGGCGTTGAGGGCAATAACTGAAGCTAAGTCGCAGCGGACGCGCTTTTATGGATTGTTGCAACGTGACTCAACTTGCCTCTTTTGGCCTGCGCGTCTAATCGCGTAGAATGACGTCAACACTACTTTATTCAAGTTGCTTCTCTCCATGTCTGCATCTCTCCATTCTTCTTTCTCGCTCCTTGCAACGCGCAAAACACGTGGTCGGCACCAGTCTCCTCAGCAGCACTTCCTTCCCCTGTTGGCCACCAATGCGATGAGGTAGGATTCTGTGCATGCTATCATTGTCGTATCCCGTATACTCTGGTCCTCGCTTGCTCATGGAAGATCATCGCTAATGGATGTGCAGCTTGAAATGTTGCAATACGTACTCGGTTGTGGTATGCGCTGCCCACATGACAAGAGCAATTTATAGCATCGCCTGGTTCCCAGTCCAACGTGGAGAAATAGGCTTGCCATTGCGGCTCGCAGTTATTTACTAAATTAACACATCGAAAAGGATCGTCCGAACCGACAAAACACACTACCCCACCTTGACATTCCCGCCTGCTTCCCTTGCCGAGAACCTTCACCACGATCAGGTGCGAAGGTACTTTGGGAAGTCTATACCGTCGGAGCTGATAAGCCAGCCTCGAGGCCAACACGCGTTGTGGTGCCATCTGAGTAGGTCCAACAGTTCCAGATCTGACCTCGGTTCCACCTGGTGCGATGAATCGGACGTCTGTCGTCAGAAATTGATTTGAACACCAGATTTGTCAAAAGATCGAGTATCACCTCGCTAAAAGCAGGGGATAAAGTCGTGGGGAGGGTGTTCAGTCGATTATGTTGGCCTTCATCTATCTTTCAGGGCGAACATGGCCCCACCTGCTTGATTTGAGGGGCGTTCTCGAATGTATAACACCATGCCACGCTTGCGGGGGAACTGTTTTCGTGAAATCTTATTTCATAATGAGGCTAATCGTGCGCCACATAGACTACCAACTCGGACATTTCTCACTCCTCTGGTGGGAGCTTGAAGCTCCCGACGGTCGAGGCCGGGCTTTCCATGACATGAGGATGCGCTTCCAGGTCCATTGAAATTGAATTTATCAGCACTGTTGGTACCACCTTCTTTTGCGGCATGACTTTCGCAGGCGGGGCGCCAGGGCCTGCATAGTCGCTCTTGGAGCGATTGAATGGTGGTGGATGAACTGCTAAAGAAGAGGAGGCAGTGCCTGGCTGACTCGAACCATATGGTCTATTGCTCGTGGGCGCAGAGGCCTGAGAAGGTGGGACACTACCACTCGTAGCGTCGCCTTCTCTTGATACCAGAGGAGACGCAGCTGGCACGGGGGGTGTTGTTGCACCTATTGAATTATTGCGAGAGGCTGGAAAATCAAAATTGGGCATTTGGAGGGCGTGGAACTCGGACAAGGTTTTCGAAAGGTCGTCAAGCTGTTAGAAGGCAAGCTGATCAGCGTATTATCCTAATGTTTGCACCAATCACAAGGAACAACTGACCTTGTTCATGATGCCTTGTATCGCGTCTTTTCTTCCTTCAAACTGGCTCGCTAATTTGGCGAATTCTTGCTCTCGCAGCCTTGCTTTCTCCGCTTCTTCATCGGGCACGTTGACACCCTCATCGTCTTCATCCTCCCCCTCGGCAACGGATGAAATCGTCGAAACCATACTGACGGCTCGTTGACGTGGCCGTTGAAGACCAGGAGGCATCACGGGGTCACCAGGACCCAAGCTAGACGAAGCATTGGCTCCTTCGGGTACGACAGGCTTGTGAGAGGACGGCTTCGGTCTTTGGGATTTGAAGTCGCCGCCTTTGCTGGCTCCTATGCTCTCCATTTCGAGATGCATCTTAGATATCTCGCTCTGTATATCCAAAACGCGCGATAAGTGGGACCAAACTGCCTCGCTGCCAGGCGGATTTGAGTGTAGAGCACCATCGTGGCCACCCGCAAGGTTGATGCGCGACGGAGATTGCTCTTCGCCATTCTGATTGAGTTCTTGAGCATGGGGTATTAAAACTCCTAAGGTGCTTCCGTCGAAAGGATCGAGTAACAAGTCTGGAGAGGTGAAGCGAGGGCCATCTTGCGATATAGGGGACGCAGCCTTTTCGTCTCGTTGTGTGCCTATCGGGTCCGGAGGGACAAGGCCATCCTTGATGGATGCGGGAGCAACGGGTCTGTCGTTCGCAGCAGATTTCGGGCCCGTTCCGTGCAGCTCTGAAAGTACAGCATCGTGTGGTGTTGTATACGCAGGAAATACGCGTTTGGTTGGCTTGTCAGTTGAAACTCTGGGTGGTTGGCTGCCTGGAGGTGGGGAAAGAGAGGGCCGGGGTGTTGTACCACCGTCCGTATCCTCTTCATTGGTCCTTGGTCCAAACCACGAACCTAGCATTGCAGGGGAAGCACGTCAGAAGAATGGGACTTGGCAAGTCGTTCATCCTCAGCTTCTTACGAATATGGTAGATGATGTCACGCCGGCCCGCTCAATGCTCGGGTGTTGAGCGAGCTAGAGTAACAGCCATTCTCACTCAATTTTTTCTTATGAAATAAAATCAAGTAGTTCCTCGCGCTGAAGGCATTTCTTTAATTTTCCATAGTACATCGATGTGAATCACGAGCATTTCCCTTGGAAAATATGTCGGAGATGAGTCGAAACGTACGTGCAGTTGGTATTTAATTGAGCTTACATACCTGTCAGTGGAACACTCTTTCCAGCTGCGTTTATTTTACCAGCCAACGAGCTCTTAACGCATGCCACCCCTCGCACGAACGCTTGAGCAATAACGTTAGCCCCAGCGGGGTTGGGATGCTTGTAGTCCTTGGGAAAGTAGGTATTCGTGGTCGCTTCGCCAACGCTCTGGAACGATTGAGCCGTGTAACGGTAATGATCCACAAATGAGATGCCCGTGCGGCTCGCAGCTAGCGCAGAATACCCGACAAAACGGGCAGGTGCTGCGATGGCCCCGTTCACCCAGCTGTTGTTCGGAGTGTTGGATGCAATGATTGGGATGGCGCCCTTGGCTTTGACGGCGTTGATTGCGTTTTCCACATAATAATTAAAGGTGTGAATGACAATTGATGTTCCACTGAGTTGGAGGTCAGTTTCTGGATTCAATAATAGGTGCTTTGAAATCACTTCGCTGTTTTAACTATAGCGGTCCCATTGTAATCATCACCAACCGCGGCTTGTCGTCCATTGTCGACCGCACCGGCCGAAACATCGTTGTGCCCAAACTCAATGATAACGAAGTCGCCAGGCTCCACTGTGTCGATGATTGTCGCAAATCGACCTTCTTCCGTATATGATCTTGCAGATCGCCCGCTGACCGCCAAATTGACGACCGGAATAGTCACGTATTGCCCAAGGAATGTACCCCACCCTGTGCATACCCTTCAGCATTTATACCGCGCATAATGACATTGAACAAACCTTACCTTCCAGGCCGGAGCCGCCTCCACCTTTCGCCATTGTCGAGTCTCCTGCCATGTAGATAGTCTGGCCAGAAACGAGGGAGACAAGGCATCCAAGAATAGCGGCAATTTGAATGGAGCGCATGTTCAGGTTGTCTTCGCGAAAGTGTAGGTCTTTGTCCCTCTTGTTTGTCGTTTTATATATCCTATCAGCGGCCGCCCACGGCTTCTCCACGCGAATCATGCATTTCTCGCTGCAGAAAACTACGAACCATATTTTCCCGTCGTTGAATGGGATTTTCCGAAATATCGGGAAGAAGGCGCGACAGCACGTGGGGTTAAACAGACCGCACCTTCGGAACGGGTAATTTTCTGCATGCGAATCCTACCTCGAAAGTACGATAACATTGCTATTATACAAGTAATGTTGATACAAGGGTGATTGCACCTGAGGATCGGTTGGCATACAGAGAAGTACCTTCCTGGTAGAAAGACTTACAGCATAGTTTTCAGGTCCTAAGTCAGGTTGAACTATCCGATTCGTCGCCATCTTCATCGTTTCCGCTAATTGCCAACGCTCCGAATCTACCAACACCAAGGGGTATTTCGGCGTCAGGCACATCGTCGAGTTCTTCCTCGTCATCCTCCTCGATGCTGTCTTCTTCATTGGATAAAGCCTGGTGCTGGCCTTCACCAACGTCAACCTCGCCGTCGCTCTCTGGTTCTGTTTCTTCGTCAGCAACATCGCCGCGTGGTATCCATATCCCTTGCTCCGGACCGCCTCCTGAGGCGACTTGGTCAAGTGGTGTGCCAGGTGGCCAGAAAGCCCACCCAATTCTTCCTTCTGCAACGGCGCGGAGGACTAGGCGGTGTCATGAGCACAAAATTAATATCCGAGATTAGACACATACTGGCGTTTCCTGCTCGATGCACATCAGGTCTTCCCGCTTTGGCAGTCACCCAGCCCTTGGCGTCCGCATATGCAGTGAGAATGTCCATCGCAGTCCATGAGAGAGGAGTGGAATTCTTGTTTGTCTCCTCTGTTTTCATGCCTTCACGCCATGTCCTCTTATCTTCTACGGGGTGCACTTTTGTCGCAGGATGCACCAAGTTATATATCCGTTCTAGGGGCAGGAACTGCGAAGCATGGTAGATGCATGCAGGTACAGCGGACACTCGAGAGATGGGTAAGATACCCGAGAGGACTTGCATTTCCATGGGCACATAATTTGGCATAACAAGTCCAGGGCAATCAACAAGACGAACGTCTGCGGTCCAATACAGTGTTTGAAAATGTTTTGTCTGCAGATGAAATCCCTTGTTCAGTTGCGAGTTCTCGCGAAAAAAGAATATGTTTACCTTTCCTGGCGTCTTAGAAGCACGGACCTTCCAGGCACCAAATAGCGCATTCAAGAGAGAAGATTTGCCAACGTTAGGCTGCCCTGCAGATTTATGAGAATTGCGATGGGAGAAGTGGGAGATGACACTGCGGACCTATCAATCCAACTGTGAGGTAGCTGGGCTCCTGGCGATGATCAGTGTCCTCAGACTGCTCGCCTTCAGGAGACTGAGGACGAGGAACTGCAGCACCTCCAACAGTGAGTCCGACCTTTGATCCCTTCGCCTGTAACACGCCATCCCAATCGATAACCCTTTTGACTGGGGGTATCCAATTCTTGAGCCGATCGGGATGACTCTTCACCCTCTCTGGCGGTTCGAGTAATTCTTCATGGACTTCCTTGATTACTTGGACCAGTTTCGAGCGGAAATGCTCCGGGATGAAAGGTTCATACAAAGCGCGCCCTTGCTGCTCCGAGGAAGCTTCCTTCTCAGTGTAGGATTCAACTTGGACCACTCGGAGATTAGGATAATTGTCGTGAATGTACTTGATCCAAGCATCCACGCGCGCCGTTCCGGTAATATCAGCTTTGGTCAAGACGAGTATGACTTTTCGATCCGCCAGATAAGCCGCCAGTGAAGGTGGAAAGTGAAGGATTGGGCAACGGGAATCAAGGAGAACAAGGATGATCTGAGATATTTCAGAGACGCGCCACCTATGATACAGGCCTTCAAAAATAAGCCAAGTCTAAGAGCCAGCCTAAGAGAGACATACAGTTGTCGCCACACCTCAAGGTTGCGTTCAAAATAAGACGTAGAACGCGGCATGCAGACTTGATCGGGGGTGTTCGGTACTTGCTGATTCTGCCATTTCTCTATGGCCTGGTCAGTTTGTGCAAGCCATTTGGTGAAAACGCCCTCTTCGTTGCGCTCCACTTCTATCTTGGACATATCAAACCGCCACTTCGGTCTCTTGGGACAAGATAAAACCTCGAGGTTTGGATCATCATCGCGATCGGCCCAATGAAAGACAGTCTTTTCGTCGGCGATGGGACGAGGTAGAGCCAGATTCGACGCGAGAACTTTGGTTTCCTCTAAGAAGCCTGGAGGAAGCTTGACGAAAGCAGATTGCAATTTGCGGGCAGATTCAATGGCTGCGGTGTCGGTAGAGCCGATTTGTTGTCCAGTAGGTCCAATCCGCCGCTTGTGATGACGGTTTGCAGTCTTCTTGACTTCTGGAGGAGGCACATCACCACGCTTTATGGCGCGCTTTAACTGCTGATCTGCCTTCTTCTGTCGAGTTGAGGTTGGTTTGCGACGAGGAGGCATGTTGATGTCGTGTCAAGAAAAGAATCCGCTGTGCCAGATTTGGGTCAGGTACTTATTTACGTCATTCTCCCACGCTGAGGCCATTCTTTTGGTTCATGCAACACGCACATCGCTGGAGCCTCGGCGCTTCCTCTCTCACACGGCCAGGCATAGACTGGCGTCTAACAAGCTTTCGTCCTGCGCTCCCCAAGTATCTCAGATCATCGACCCGGCTGCTCGAGATTCCGGGACTAAAGCCACAATAAAAACCTATCCCGTTCAACGTTGCTTCTCTGTTCTAGTATAGGCTCTCGACGATGAGCCGCTAGTGGCATACCTCGATACACTGGGGTCAAAGGCTCAGTGCTGTTTCTATCCTTGGACTGCCCGCCCTGGTCGATAGGAATCATCGCAGCTAAGCGTTATTTGCTCTCTTGCGACACGTACCAGTTCACACACCGCGACCTCAGAATATCTGCCCAAGCTCCTTGTTTTCTTGTCCTCGCGTTGCTGCATCACGATTTCTCCGTTAACAGTTGACACCTGTGGAGTGGCCCTCCCCATCCTGAAACTTTGTGACTTTTTGAATTCCTTCTGACCGAGGACTCCAATGCTCCGAGCCGATCGCGGCATGTCGAACGCTGTACACACTTGGGGAGGCCCCAAGCTGAGTCGGACGGGAGAGAACAGACGGTCCCCGTCGACTCGACTCTTACTCTGATATTTACCCCACCTCATTCTGCTCCAACTGTTATGTAACCTAGGATGTCGGCGACGTGGACCTGCGATCATCCCGCAAGCTGTTCAATTTCTTTTGGATGGCTCGGACATCGAGGTGGCGAGAGATATCAAGATTGTTGCTGCCGGCTCCAGGGAGCGCCTGATGTTTGTATCAGCTGTACTATTTCAATGTATCGGGGACGACAGCTATTTTGATTGAGGCGCAAAGTCCTGAAGTATTATTCTTGGACACCTTTCACCTGTCTTCGAGCTTGAGGCAAGATCAGAGTTTTGTTAGAATGAATGATACAGCTTTTCGATATGACAGTTGCTGATGGACAATTTGCCAGTGCAGGCCAGGCTGAATGGCCAGGGAGTCGAATGGGCGTAGATATGTTTGTACCCATGGAGATAGAGGTTCTGTCTTGTTCGCGTATCAACGGTCCAGGATGGGTGGAAGCAGGCGCAGCGTTGAGTTCTTATACAGTCGTACTTATAAATAAGAACTTCCGATCATCCCACTGACGACACAGTATGCTCTGATCAAATCCACAAGAGTTATTCGAGACGTCTTGATTACCCCCGTAACGCCAGCTCTTCTTTTTTTCTGCCAACACATTCAAGCTGCATTCCCTCCTCTCCCCGTCTGTGTCAGACGCCCCAGCTGTGGGCGCTCGATCATTTCCGTGATGACGCCGCATGTTTCGCCTCCGCTCGCCGTATCCCATTCCGGTGCATCAACCTCGCATACCACCAGCGACGGCAAGCGACCAGTTCGACGTAAGGAGTTCCAGTTCAAATACGGACAGAAACACCATTCGTATGACAACGAAAAGGCTCCCTACCCCTTATCATACGACAAACATGTGCTCGAACTGTTCGTGACCCTTTCTTTGGCTCGGACCACAGATGTAAAGATGTAATTTTCCGTCAACCTTACAGCGAGTCCCTCGATAATCGACTATGCCAGTATTTGCGCAATTCAGTCTCATTCATGAACTTCAAGACTGCTCCGGCGCGAACGTTGGATTTAGGTTGCGGAGTATGTCACTTTTTTTCATAGCTCACCACATACTCAACAATTGACGCAGACGGGCACATGGGTAATCGACGCTGCAAAGGAATGGCCTGAGTGCGAGCTGGTGAGTACTGCCTTTTTTTAACTCAACTTGTCATTTCGTTGAATACGCCGTCCGCATAGGTTGGGTTTGATTTGGTAGATATTCAAATACCCTTGAAGATACTGGACCCGGCGATGGCAAAACGAATAGAGTGGAGGCATGGCAATTTGTATGTCCTCGATTTTACATACAGTGTTTGCTTCGTCCTCACATTTCACCAGTTTGACGACTAAACTTCCTTTCGATGACGATGACTTCGACCACGTTCATATTCAGTCGATATCAAAAGGTGTCCCGGAAAACAAGGTGGGTCCCCAAAGCGTCTCTTGCTCGAATTCTAGCTGAGCATGTTTTAGTGGAACAATATTTTTGAAGTGGGTCCTCCATTCCATCTTGTAGACCTGCAGACTAATCGTCGGGCAGGAGGTTTACAGAGTGCTACGACCAGGCGGCTCTGTTGAAGTGGTGGAAGATGGTATGTGAATGCCTCAGGTTTCGGTTCAACGCTGAGTCTATATCATGATCTCTAGATATCATATTTCCTTCCCTTCCGCGCTGGTTCACCAACGCTCTTCGAGCTCGTCCTCTCCGAGCTCAATCCATCATATTCCCAGATGGTTCGCAACGTGGATACCCGGCCTCATCGCAGGCATCGTCTAATATACCCCCTCACGAGCACGCTTTGCTCGAGTCTTTGTATAAGTCTGTATTTGAGCATCGTTTTGTCAATCTGAAGCCCTCTTGTGAGTTTTGTGGTTTCCGTCTCGAATCCAAGATTGAAAATGTTCTAGCCGTCCTTCCCAGTTATCTCACGACCTACTTTAGACAAGTCACACTGGGTCCAGTTGTTAAGTTTCCGATGCCTCCCTTACCGCCTATACAGCCTTTGCCACCTCAACTAACGAAGTCGTACATTGTGGAACCAAGTCCTGATATCGCTGACAACCGGTCATCGACAACTGTTGCGCCGTCCACATACTCGAGCCGACCTATGTCACTTTCCTTCTCTTCTTCATATTCGACTGTTGCAGACTCTATCATATCGAAGACGACGATCAGCTCTCGACCCAGAACCTCCTCAGAACCTCTCTCTTATCACGGCGAGAATTCGTATTCATCGTTCGACATCTTGCAACTTCCTGCTCCAGAGGGCATCGATGTTACAAGCCTGCCAATTCCACGCTTCATATTGGATAGCTCGCTGACTGAGAGCGAAATAAGCGCCCTTCCCCCTTCCTTATTCCCCTTGGAGCAACTCGCGTCGCTGAGCGAGCGCTCGCTAGCAATGCACCTCTACCGCTCTTTTCAGTCGGTGTTGGCATGCCAGGAGGCTATGTGGGAGGAACTAAAGGATAGGATTCGGAACAGAAGACGCGAGCTGCTCCCTTTTGGATGGGAGGATGATGAGGAGCTGGAAGAGCTGCAGAGTCGGAAGAAATTTGAACGGTTGATTGAACGATATCGTTCGTAAGTCATTTCTAATTGCAAGATTTTATGGAGTTGACCCGGTGTCTCCAGTGACATGTACGCCAGAGTATCCCTTTGGAGCTCCTTGGATTCCTTTGGTTGGCCCTTGCCTGCCAGAGAACCTCTATCCAAAGCTGAATTAATTGAAGAAGACAGATTGCGTGAAAGTATGATTGAAGCCAGGAAGTCGGCGACTGTTGAAGAAATGCAAATTCCATGTCGAGCTGTGAGGGTAGTGATGGGGTACAAGCTATGACTTCAGTTTCGCGATGGACGGGCGCAATTGACATTACGAATAGGACACTTTATGTAGCAGTAGTCATAGTAGAACATCGTGCATGCCTGTATTCTACGTTCGTAGTTGGTTACAACTCCAAGTTACCTAGCAAGTGCTGACCTCCACTATCGCGGAGTGGCGGGCCGGCTTGATAACTTCGGCTCTGTTTGGGTGTTGTTTGTCCTACTTTTTTCATCATGTATTGGACGCTTAGCTAGGGATCGCCTCAATGGCCGCTTCTACCTCTAAACCGCCCCGCTCTGACATCCGGCCGTCCAAAGACCCCCAAAAGACCCCTTCAAAGAAAGGAAAAGGCAAAGAGAACTCCAATAAACCGGCCTCCACCTCCACACACTCACCCTCATGGGAGGAAGATACACCTTGGATTTGGGCATCTTTAACGGATCCTTCTTCTAGTCGGGTTGCACCAGTTTTCACAAAAGATGGGAGGTGCGTCGCCCAGATTTATGGCCTGTTTCTTCATCTGAAGGTTGACTTCCAGCTACTTTTTCTCGCTCATCGGTTCGTCTGTAAAGATCTATTCGACGGCGACTGGGATAGTAGTTTCGACACTCACCGCCCCGGCTTCGAATGACGATGACTCTTGCTCGGACATCCTCACTTCTGCTGTCCTGAATCCACACAACGTGTTTCAACTCATCGTCGGGACTCTGGGTGGCAGAATATTGATTTGGGATTTTGTCAACGCAACTCTGTTGCAGACAGTCAATGTGGGACAACCAATACATTACATATGTGCCCATGATAGATTCAAGGGATCTGTGTTCGTAGCAGCATCTCGCTCACGAAAGAAGGCATCATCTAGTGGTGAGTTGCACAAATGGCCACTCTTGCTCAAATCTTATCAATAAATTTCCAGACACCAATGCCATCGTTCTGCAGATATTTATCAAGCAGTCCGATCACACGAGCCAAGTAGTCAAAGCCGTCCCAGTAGGCAAAATCCGACACCCAACTGGCCTTTCCATCTCTGCAAATGGGGCCTGGCTTGTTGCCTCTGCTGCACATAAAGTCTACGTCGCGAAGACCGAATCACTGGAGGCAGGCTTCACCAAGTATGTCTCGCCAGAACATTTAACATGCTTGTCGTTTCATCCTTCCGAGGAGTACTTTGCAACCGGAGACGAGAAGGGTGTCATCAGGATATGGTATTGTCTGAACGACAGTCTGGCGGTCAATGTTCGTGGAGTTGAGAAGCGGACTCAAACAAGGGCTCTTCACTGGCACGCGCATGCAGTATCTTCCCTGACGTTCAGTCCCAATGGCGCTTATCTTCTGAGCGGTGGTGAAGAATCTGTCCTCGTCATTTGGCAATTGCATACGGGCAAGAAGGAGTTCGTCCCGCGGGTAGGAGCTCCCATTAGCACCATCTGCGTGTCAAGATCCGTCAATGGCGAAGAAGAATATCTGTTAGGACTCGCAGACGCAACATACACGTTCATAAGTTCTTCCAGCCTCAAAATTGTGAGAAGCTGCTCTCGAATAAAAATCGGTGTGTTCCCGTTTCCAATTCTTTCCTCAGAAGACTTATCCCATTTTGAAGATCCTGCATTCTCTCAAGAGTCAGCATCGACATCAAAATTAGACTCAGTACCCCTAGCTGTGCAGCCTTTGACTTCCACCTTCATTCTACCGTCGTCGCATGCATCGTCCGTTCAAATATACTCTCCATCATCTTCGACTCTAATCGGCGAACTCGAAGTCTCTCCATCTAATAGAGTCTCCCGGAGAGAAGACAAACCCATAACTCCTTCACGGGTAGAACACGCAGTGGTTTCGGCGTCTGGGCTATGGATGGCTACTGTCGACAGGCGAGAGGATGACGCCGGTTTTCGTCCAGAAGTCTACCTCAAAATTTGGGCTTGGGACAAGAAGGAAGAAAATTGGGTTCTCAATACCCGGATTGATAGACCGCATGGAACCTTCAAAGTTGTCGACGTCAGCTTTAGCTCAATTGCTGAGGGTTCAGACCTTGCGTTTTTGGTTACAACTGGCGAAGACGGTCTCATCAAGGTCTGGCGATTATTGTCGCATAAAAAGGATTCAGAACAAGGTCAGCTCAGCAGCTCGTCAATGATATCGCTTTCTAACGTGACTGGGATCAGATATTTGGGTTTGCCACACAACTCTGGCCTTTCGATCGGAAAGGCCCAGATCTGTGTCATGGTCTCCGGATGCATCTCTCTTTTCTGTCGCCGTCGGTCCTCATATCGCCCTTTACGATCCGGTAACTGGATCTCTCCGACACACGTTGACGGCGCCACAGTCCCAAACGATGCTGTCTGGTCAATTTATTGGACGTAGTGGGAGACACCTCTTGGCCTGTGGAACGAATTCCTTGATTATGTGGGATCTCATCGACAATGAAGGTTTGTCTTTTCAGTTTTCCAACAAGTGGCGTTCTGACTTAGTTTCTTGCAGTTTCTTGGCAGACCACGACGCCGGTGCAAATTGAAAAAGTCATTCCTCATCCCAGAGAGGACTCGTTCGCCGTCATCCATTCACCCATCGTCGTTAATGACGCACAACGCACCAAGGTTTCCATCTTCCGCGTCAGTTCGAGCAGTCCGTTTTCAGTGCGCTCAGTCCCCTTCGGGCTTCGAAACGTCATCTGGGGTGCTTTCCAAGCAAGCGCGGGTTTCAGCCTTGTTGGAGTAACAGAGAGATGGAGGGTGATCGTGATGGGCGACTCCGCTGCGTCTTTCAAAGATGAAGGTCGTGTCGCGCGAGGCATTAACACCACAAATCAAGGCCAACAGAAGCGAACGCTCTTCCAAGATCTGTTTGGGGTATCTGCGTTCGCCGACAGCAACTCGGAATTCCCAGAATGGGTTTCGGCGCCGCGGAAGGACAACATCAGCCACGACCTGTTCTCTGCCCCAGCATTTTTGATGCCAGCTCTCGACACGCTCTTCGGGCCTCTCATCGAATCCTTCTTGACCGTTCGAATCGCTGAGGGCGCTGTCAATCCTGACGGTCCACCGGACGCTTATGAAGATGTTGCCATGGAAGAAGCGGCCGACAGTCTCATTACGCCCAACCAACCCCCACGAGTGCCTCAGCCTGGAGAATTGGATATGTTTACGAAGCTTTTCCGGACAAGTTGTCGAAACAGTACGGCGTTCTTGTTATCTAGATTCGCCTGAACCTAACGTCTTTATCTAGAACCCTCCTTGCCTCCCAAGTCTCAGGTTAACGGGAAACTGAATGGCATGCACCTACACCCTAAAGAGATCAATGGCACTCCGCGACCACCTCTAGCGATCGCCCCATCCACACAATGTAGGCCCAGTAGCGACAGCGACGACCATCTTTCTCCCTCTCCTGCCACGCCGTCAACTCCCATCGTCAATGGCAAGAAACGGAGAAAAGTATCTAGATAATTGCACTGTCCTAGCATCTTCGCTCATTGCTACCATCTTTAATGCAACCATTCTCTGATCATTGGCAAGAAACATTACAATGGGTGGCTAGTTTAAGTGAACGAGTCTGATCATTTTGAAAGCTGGCGACAACATTTAGACATGCGAGGAAAGCAAGGTATTATTTGGACAAGATGGGGTGTTCATATCATATCACTGGCATATATGCATATGGGAGCAAGGACTTCATTAGGCCGCCAACGCCTCCTCCTCGGGCGGCTTGTTGTTCGGGAGCAGCACCTGAACCGTGCCCCCCCTGTCCAACATGGACATGAGAAGAAGAAACTTCTCCCTGTTGAAAGTTGCCGCCATGCTCGGGGGCAAGTAGACTTTCTTCAAAGGCACATTGATACTCTTCCGTGCCCTGAGCCAGTCAGCGACCAGCGGCGTGTCGATGTTCTGGTACTCCAGATACGCGATCTTGGGGCACACGATCTTTTTGGGCGGGGGCGAATTGTCCGTCAGCCTCCGGAACTTGTCGTCAGAGACGAAGAGGTCGAGGAAGGGCTTCTCCACGTTACCGAGGCGCAGATACGTTACTTGGGGCATGGACGCGAGCCACTTGATCGCGGCGGCCTTAGCCGGGGGTGTAAGGGTGACCTTTGCCGTGAAGATGGTGAGAATCTTGACGAGTGGCATGCTGTTCCTCATGAGGTCGAAGAAGGGCGAGAAGTCGTCGCCGAAGAGGTTGATGAGGGTCAGGTCTATGACCTTGGGCACGGCGAGGTGGGAGAACAAGAAACACCCGTACGTCATGCTGAAGTCGCCCAAGACGAGGACCTGCAGCTCAGGGAGGAGGACGGGAGGGAGACGGCCGCTGGCTGGGTCCTGGACCCACTTGGGCCCGGCGCCGTCCATGATCAGCTTTTTCAGCAAGGGGCAATTCTGCAGGAGCGAGCGGAAGCCCGCGAGGTTAGGTGCGCGCTCGAGTGGCATACGGCGCATGTCGAGCGTGGTGAGGTTTCGAAGGATGGAATTCTTCCAGTCGATGTGGATGCCATTGAGTGACAGGTAGTTGAATGTGGGGACCGATGCGCCACCGAACAATGGAATGGGCCTCGCGTAGACCTCGGGGTGGTAGCCTGTTCCCACTTGGACGTAAGGCGACCCATCCCGGTGAAGTTCGAAGCGCTCCATGATCATCGGAAGATTCTCAGTGGCTACGCGACGAAGGCCATTGAGGACGACGAGGGCCGGGTCCCAATCTTGGACAACAATGACCAACAGTCGGATATTGGAGAGCTTGACGAACAGCTTGTCGACGAGCTTGGACATGTCCTGCAAGGTCATCGGACGGGCCTTGGTGTCGTCGATGCGGATGTCGATCGCGCTGTGGCCTGCCCGCTCGAAGAAGAGCAACGACCTCTCGTAGTTGGGTGGGTCTCTGAACCATATCGCGTTCCAAAGAGTCGTGTCGGCCAAAGCAATACTGCGCCAGTGCTGGCAGACCCATGTGAGCCACATGCGCCACCTGACACTAGTGACCTGGTCCCCCGACGTCCAAACGATATACCGGAAAATGTTGTCCATAATTTCCGTAGGGAGGTCGTTTATCCTGAACGTCCGAGGGAAGTAGATGCGGTATTCCATACGCCTGATGAATAATTCTTGCTCGGTACGCAACTCCGGGTTTGGCAATTGTTGTTCCAGGCGGGCCTCCAGCTCGCGGACGCGCTGGATTTGCGATTTAGTGAGTTGTCGGAAGTGTTGGAACTCTTCCGGAGCCATGTGATGAGCCTCCCAATTCTTCATATGGTGGGCAGTAACCTTCGACGCCACCTCCATGTACTGTTGGGGGGTCGGCGCAGGGTTAGCTGGCCGTGCAGGTGCAGACTGAACGGAGGTCAGTGGCAAGGGTCCTAAAGATCGAGCAATAAGTAGGGCAGCCAGAAGGCAAATAGGATGTACGACGTACTTATAGGTGACATCGCGCCGCCTGCGGCACTGGATTGGCCACTAGGGCCAGCTGTAGGTTGAGAAGGAGGATACTGGCGATTCAGCTCTGCCATGGCTTGCAAAAAACTTGTGGGCGCAGGGGTCGGTGGTGGTGGCTGCTGAGCCTGGTTATCAGGTGCTGGGGTATCAGGTGGGGGATCGGACATTTTGGAGGGGCGTGCGCACAGGAGGAGAGAAACAAGGAGGGACAGTGGTGGGTTGGGGAAGAACAATGCAGCTCGCGTCGCTATCGATGATTTCTGGGGGATGTCAAAGCGCGCGTCATTCCCATATATACTTAAGCTACGCGCCTGCTGACGCCAATGAAGAAGACTCACCAGCAAGTCGACGCTGAGCGACGCACACGAATAAATAGTTCAGAGTCGACCCAACGCGAGTGGCTCAGAGGTCCAAGGCGATGGTCGAGGAGGAGGCGGTGAGGGGCGATGGTGCGCAGACGAGGCGCAGAGATAGCAGTATGTGTGGTGCGCTCTTGGACGCGCTAGTATTTATACTGCGCGAGGGAGACCTTTGACCTGGATAGAACAAACAGGAGGGTGAATAGACGAGGCATAAACCGTCTGGTCCCCGCAAAACGTTCCATGGTGATATGTATGGCTCATGAAAGGTTGCCTCCGTACTCGGCACGTTTCACGACGGACACATCCGAACCGGCTACCGCGACTCCCACGCGACTTTCCCAGCCCGCCCAGAGTCATCCTTCTCGGGCACACAAAGCAAGACCAGATATCTGCTTTTGGACAATCGCGCTATTTCCCCGAGTGCAATCCCGCAAGAGCTGCCTGCTCTTTGACTTATTGGAAGCTCGCTGTATTTTTAAAATGCCTGTTGAGATATTTTGCGTCCGAGGGGGATCGCACTGAGCGCCCATTTGTGACCCGGTGTGCTTGCGCCACAGAGCGGGACGCGTGGAATCGGGCACGATAGCGTCAGGGACGAGAGAGAAGGCACCCAGACACGATTCTTACGGCACTTGCCTTCAACACGTTTACATGAGGCTCTGACGCTCAACCTCGTTCCCTTCACATCAGTCACACCCGGCCTTCTTATCAGTCTCCTTCCGCTCCTCCGTTCCGAGGAATCCGAGCTCCCCTTGTGCTGTTCACACAATTTGCACATTTACACAAAGCCGGCTTGTATATATTCACAATAATGGTACACGTCGCGATGGGTTTACATACGTTAACTTGACTACCAAACTACCAAGAAACGAAGAAATCACAAATCACTGCCAGGAACCAGCGGCACCCTCACGACTCTCCTGTCGTCGAGAGCCACTCCCAGATGCAGCAGGCGGCTTGGGCGATGACACGAGCAGGTCCTCCAAAAGAGTGGTCACGATGTCATCCTCTTTCTCCTTCGATATGATCCCGCTATTTGGCAGCTGCGACTTGATTTTCTCCGGAAGCTCTGCATGAGAGGTCTCCGAGAAACCCATCTAAGGCAGAACGTCAGCACATCCCAGGTTTCTACAAGGGGAAGGAAGAATGACGAACATCAGCCAGCCTCTTCGTAATTCGGGACAGGGAACGCGAGTATAAATCTTCCGCTTTACGTTCGGTGCGTCGAAGCCCATGTCCGGGGTGCGTATTGGATCTTCTGGGGACGCTCTGGATTTCATATTGGGGATAAGGGCCCCAGGCGTTGCTGACGATGTTCGTTGTTTGAAGATTATCCAACGAACTGCTAGCCTGAATAGTTACAGGGTTGCTAGTGAAATAAAAACGATATAATCAGAAAAACGTCAAGGAAGAAAAACAGCGAAAGAAGAACTCACGCGTCGTTGTTCTCGCCATTTACAACTCTGTGCGCGGCCATGATGCGGTCCCTCTCCCTCTTGCGTAGCTCGCGTTCTTGACGATAAGTTTCTTTCTGAGCCTTGTACGCAGCCTTCGCCCTCTCTAGCTGCGCTCTCATTTCCTCGGAACTCATCCTGGAGCCGTTAGAGTGGGTGAAGGTTGCGAACGGGTTGGCAAAGGGAGCCGGACCATGTGCTCGCATCCCGCGGCCGTAGAACGGCCCACCCTGGTCCCTTTCGCGTCCAGAAGGCGGCGGCGGCGGCGGCGGCGGAGGGCCGTGATGGTGGGGGTGGTGGAAGGGAGGACCACGGGGTGGTGGAGGCATAGGTCCATGAGGACCGAAAGGAGGAGGAGGGCCTGGAGGAGGTCCCGGAGGAGGCGGTCCGCGGTGGTGTGGCGCATCATCCTCTGGCAGAGGACCACGATGGTGAGGTGGAGGGCCTCGATGGTGCGATGGAGGTGGGCTAGGAGGCTGAGGTGGTGACGGAGGACTTCCCGGCAAATGTCCTGGGAAGTGGGGCTCAGGTTGAGCGGGCGGAGGCGGCGGTGGGGGCACTAGAGAGCCATGAGCTGGAGGCGGAGGCGGAGGTGGAGGCGTCCGGTCACTTGGGGGTGGCGGTCCCGGGAACCCTGGAGGGGGAGGTGGATGTGGTCCGTGTGGATGGTGCGATCCAGCAGCCCAGGGAGGGGTATACCAGTGGTGCCACGGCCTGCCCTCATCCAGAGCAGTTGTGAACCTGCGAGACCAAGGTGCACGTCCTCCAGGAGGAGGGGGTCGCATAAAGTGAGGAGTACGCCAATCGAACGGGTTAGTACTGGCCGGCTGGTTAGCTTGTTGACTTCCCGATTCTCCATTGGCGCCTGCCTGCGAGAGTGAGCGGAAGATCCCACCGAGTGCGTCAGAGATCCTGCGCACAGCCTCGTCGTGGTTGTATTCCTCAGCGGGACGAGACATCTCCCGAGCGGCCTGGGACATAGCCGAACGGTGGCTCTGCCAGTAAGTCCCATTGGTTGCGTTCCGGATGATGTTGCGGACGCCTTCGGAGAGCTCAGGATGGGAAGAAATGACGGAAGTGAAGGTGGTGAGGACGGTGGCGATATCATTGGAGAGACTGGCAGATGCGTTAGACTGCTGCGGCGCATCCAAGTCCGGAAGAGGTGGATCCTCCATGTTCACATCGCCAGAGGCGTCCTGGGCTTGCGCAGCGTCAACGTTCTGGCTCTGGACCTTGGGTGTGCTCTGCGCAGTGATGGCAGGTTGAGAGTCGCTGAAAGGATTTGTTGTCGCTGCAGGTGGCGCTGACGAAGGACCGTTCTTCACAGATCCGTGGTCCAAAACGTGGACGGGGTACTTTTCAGACGCTTCTTCCGCGACGAGAGAGGTGACGGAGGCCGCTCCAAAGGTAGAGGACTTGCTCTTTCCCTTGTCGACAGACGATGGTTGAACGGTGGAACGGCCACCCTCCGAGTCGGTGTCGCTCATGTTGTCCACGTCCTTCCCGAAACCGCTGATGTCACTGTCGAGGACTTCAACAAACGCGTGCGGACCATCCGAGACGCTCTCCTTGCCCATGAAGAGCTCTGCGATGCTGAACGGAGGCAGGCGCTGCCAGTCAGTGTCGGCGGGGAAGTCGAAGTCATCCTGCCCGAAGGTGTTGCGATTGGCGGGCGGGATGCTAGAAGTATCCCGGGTCTTGTTCAAGTCGAGGACGTTGAGCTTGATGACCTGACCAGACTTGTAGGAGCCCTGGTAGAAATCCTGGAGCTCCTCGTTGGAATTGACCGTTATCTCGTCATTGTCGTTATCAATGTACGAAACCCCAACCCTGTCCGCAGGAATGTTATAGAGCGCTTGCAACTTGGCCGCGAGCTCGTTCCAGTTCGGGAGCTGCTGAAACGTCGCGCGTCGGGTGAAGTCGTCAGATTTGGTGAGTTTGAATTGTATGGGAGGCATGGTTGATTGTGGGGGAGGGAAACAGGGGAAACTCAGGGCGCCTAATATACCGACGGGTTCAAACTCCGCAGTGCGCGTCATCGGTGGCTCGCTGCGGCTCGACTCAGCTTTGCACAGGAAAAATGCAGTTTCCGCAGCATGACGAGTCATTGGAAGATTTTTTCAGGTGCTTTGTGGAATAGCCTAGAAATGATCTGCCTCTAAAGTCATTCAGGTCCGGAGAGGATATTCCTTGCAACAGAGGGTTTCGAGCTCCGGATGCTCTTTCAGACTGAGAAAACGGGTTATCAGGACGTTGTCAATTCTGACTTTTATATTATCACCTTAGCGCTCACTTCATCGCAAGACGTACATCGAGCACCTCATTGTCAAAACCCCTGAGTGTTTGCTGATGGTGCATAGACGGCCCGGAACTCGCACGTGCACGTTGGCGTTACGCGACTCGCCGACAGACATCGCGTTGAAGTTGAACTGGACCACTAGCTGGCAATTTTTAACACTTCAAGCTTCGACGTTCAGCTTTAGAGCCCAGTTGTATTCGACGTTCCACGCGTAGCGTCCGTCGATCAAGTCGCTCGCCTCCTTGCTGGACCTACACTCTTTCGGAAGCACTTGATTTTGACTGGCGACTATGCATTTTCACATCCTTGGTATTGGGCCAGTTGGCAGGCTATTCGCCCACCATCTCCGGCGGACGCTTCCTGCGGCCCATACAGTAAGCCTCATACACAAAAAAAGACAAGATCATCAACGACTCCTCGGGACCTCCTTCGCTTTGGAGCGTGGCGGGAAGGTGCAGACCACAGATGACTTCCAACACGAAGTCTTCGAAGAATTGATCTCAAATCCTCCTTCTGCCAGCCCTCCAATCAGCTCTGTTTTCGTTGCACTGAAGGCCCAGCACACTTATCCTGCACTCAGCTTACTCGCGTCTCGACTTCGCCCACATTCAACCATCGTCCTCCTGCAAAATGGCATGGGCATTTACGAAAACCTTATATCAACGATATTCCGGAATCCCACGCAACGGCCCAACTTCATTCTTGCGTCAAACACCCATGGCGCCTTTCTGACAGAACCATCCCACACCGTCCACGCTGGTGTGGGCTCGATCGAGTTTGCAATCGCCCCAGATTCTCAAGGGCGCGATTTCGAAGCCGGCCTCGACGATGAAAGTACAGAAACTTCGCAACGTCGTCTCCGCCTATCCGATATTACTTTTCCTGAAGATACGCAGTCGGCAAGATACCGGTCTTTACGAACGACCGTTGCAGCCCTCCTTGTCCTCGAAGAACTCAACACTTCATGGAGATCGTATTCCGATATCCAAATGATCATGCGACGCAAACTGGTTGTTAATGCTGTCATAAATCCGCTCACAGCCCTCATGGGCTGCCGAAATGGACAGTTATTCGAGCACCCCGAAGCGAAGGACCTTCTTCAGCAAGTGTGTGGCGAGGCCCATAGTGCCTATGCTGCACAAATGAAGCACGACATTGAGACGTGGCTACAGGACCTGGAGTCTTCAGGAGTCGATATGACTAAGGTTCAAGTCCCGACGTTCCCGGAGACGTTGACCAGCGAAGCTCTTCAGAAAGAGACTGTGCGTATCGCCGAACTGACGAAAGGCAACATATCGTCAACGCTACGGGATGTTCGAAGAGGGAGGAAAACAGAACTCGACTTCATCAATGGGTATTTGGTGGGCCTCGGACGGACTTACGGATTAGACATGCCAGTCAACTCGACCCTTCTCAACCTTGTCAAGCTACGGCATCGAATGCCTTTGGATCCAATACTATAATAAGCATTTATTTTGCAAGTATTACAGCTCGGGCTTTCCGGTTTGGTTATTATGAGGTGACGTCGACTACAGTCAACATCCACATTCAGTTGCTCAGGGTCACCAGGGTCGAAGTTGAATCAAAGTATCACGTCAGCCCGCCCAACACTCCATGCTTCCTGCTCCGATGGCGACCTCGATTCTCCTCGACTGTGCCAATTACGCTGAAACCAACCCAGACATCGCAGGCGTCGTTCGTAGAGCAATCTCGCCAACCTATTTTCAGACTGACTGGTTCAACTTTGCAGGGTGTGCGAGTCAGCTTCTACCTCCAAGCTTTCTTTATCGGTCAGTCCATTGCATCATTCATTTGTTGACCCTCAGTGAAGGTCGCATTAATCTCAGTCCTTCTCGTCGACCGATCTTGGGAGGATGCTCCGGTTGCACTGTGGACTTTTATCGTCACTAGCTTTGGGATTCTCCTTGCGGCGATCATACAACGAAGTCAGCTCTCGATATTTCAAGCACTGCAGCTCTCTAATTTGATATGGTGAGCAAGAGGCTCGCAATACAACGTAACCAAAGCCTGGCTTATCTCTTCACGACAGGCTCGCGAATTTCAGTATATTTTTCTCCCTTGCCAGCTACTCCAGACAGCGGGCCGAAGCTGCTGAGAATATCCAGCAAAGTCGATCACTGTCGTCGGATTTTAAGGTTAAGTATGGTGCAATGTTGCAAACTATATTCTCTATGGCTCTGACGCTGTACATATGGTATTCTCGTTCAACGCATCATATATCGAAAGTGCGCTAATGAGGTTCTATTTCTAGGGCAAACGCACCAACGTTCGGAAACCAACCTGAATGCTCGCCATACATAAAATTTATGCTATTCGCTCTTGAAGTCCCCGCACTAGGAGCGGGTCGTATTATTGGACTGACGTTCACCGGCCTCCTGACGGCGATATATCTTCGGGTCTCTATGCACGACATCCAGTCTTATCGGACTAGGATGCATCGTCTACGCCAGTCTAGCCTCAGCGACAATAAATCGACGATAGGGCAGCCGGGTGGTAACTCCGACAAATTTCCTACAGCGACTGTGACAGAGCGCTTGAACGACGTCGAGCACACAGCTGTATCAAATGGAACAATAATAGCACGGAGCACTTGCGGTGCAGGACCTCGATCCCCGGATCCTCCCACTCTATCAGCACAATCGCCTCAGCTCGTCCGCAGGCCGAAGCGACGTCGCTGGTCGTTTGATTTGGACCCCATGTTCGTCGGTATTATCATCTGTCAGATCATGGTGTTCACGTATTTCATCGTTTCGAGTGAACTGTTCCTCAAACGCAACCCCACGACCAGCAATGGAGCATCGCAGTGGAGCTTCGGCCAAATTCTGGCTTTGATAGTCGTGACACCGTCGGCTTTATCAGTGGCAGATGCTATGAAAAGACATGGGCTCAAACGTCTCTCGCGGCGGAGGAGGCAAGGCCTAGAATATAATTCCAATCTAATGCATACAGACACTGTATGAAGCTACCAGAGACAGTCCTTCCTACATATCCATCCATTAAGTGCGTTATTACAAGTCCATCGTATGGGTCCACAGCACAACGAGAGAGAAACAAACTGCAATGACATCATCATCCATGCTGTGGTTAGTGGTCGTCCGAGTCTGGTCTTCCCCACTTCAGCGTTCTCACCACACCATCTCGCCACGACTGCACTCGACGACGAGCAAGTACCGACATCGTCGAGCGATCAGTACCAACGAAGCCGATTCCTCCAGATTGAATGACAGCATCGATAAGGACGGGGTACCTGCTTCTGGGTTAGCGGAAGACGAGGCACCAACAATAGAATACACTGACCACGCGCCGTAAAGCTCGACGGTCTTTGAATGGTCAATTCCAAACCATCCTTGAGCCGTCACCTCTTCCCACCATGTCGCATTCCGCTCATCGCTTGTCATTATGACATGGTTCACCTCAATGCCCCTTCTTTCCAGGATTTCAAGCTTCACTTCCTCGACTCGCCGTGCGATAACAGAAATAGGCGCAAAGCACTCTTCAACCGGAACCGTACCACACCAGTTCGCGAAGTCGCCGTGTCGAATGTGAATGCCGATGTAGGGTGGAGTCTCGGCCTTTTCTTGGAGTCCAAAGGCGCTCCGCACGTATTGATCGGCAAGACTTTCTAGCCTTGGAGTCCAGTGCATGTGCTGTCCAACAAACAGCCAAGCTGGGCTGTAGTCGTAATCGAACTCGAATGGCTAAATTGCAAAGGTTAACTGGCGCTTCGAAGGTGGATTCCTGGGCTGACCTGGTGCGAGCAAACGTAATAGAGGTAATCATAGCACAGGAGCTGCTGGTCTGTAGGGAGCTTGACGCGGTGTTGCGGTGACTCCATAGGCTCGACGGCGTTTTCATTGCGGGTCTCCGGGAAGGCCAGCGTGGCTAATGCTGAGAAAGAACTGTGCTGGTCGTGCTCGTAGTTGGGAATGACCTTGATCCATGAAGGTGCCTTGGTGTAGGAAATGTCTGGGAAGGTGCGGTTCAAGTTTGCTCTTAAGCTAAGGCTGTTACAAGCAAAGACTCACCAAGTTTCAGAAGGTCGGGCACCACACTTCGCCGCGGGTAGTGCTCTCGGTCCTGAACTGCCTGCCAAGTATCCCAGCACCCAATCTCATCTAGAACCCCACTATTGCGATTCTTGACTTCGTGCCATTCTATAACCGGCATTTGGAGTGCCTCGCGAAGTCTCGGAACGTCGAAGACCTCTCCAAAGTCCACTGGAGGGACGTGACCGCCGATATGGGATGGGGTGAACATGGCGATGATTGGTGCGCGCTTCGTCAGGAAACCGAGATATATGAGATTAATCTGGTTCAAAACTTAGCATACAGGAGCTTGAAGGCAGCACCAATGAACTCACATAAGTCATCACATCGTTGGCTGGGAGGGAACTAGGTCAAGAACAAAATATTGAAGAGAAATCATCGGTACGCACTCCAACCGGCTGATATCCACGAACTGATGTACTTCACATCTGGTCGCAGATTATCTGGAGATCGTCGGTCGACAATTGAATTGCGAAGATACATCGAAGAGAACGCACCTCTGAGGCTATCTGTAGGTGCACCCTTGAGATAGTTCAGTGAGTGCCATTTATCCAACTGTTGTATCGGCTCCTGCGCGGCAGGGGCCTGAATTTCATCTTCCACCTGGACGGGATAGCTTGATGTTCGTGCCGTCCAGAAACTGGACGCTAGGACGCTCACGAGGGAGACGAGGACCAACGAGAGGCAGGCTGTGTAGAGGTGTCGCCGCCTTGTCTTGAAGAATAGACCATCCGCGTCGAAGGACATGGTTCTCTGGCGCCTTGCCTCTTCACTGGAGGACGGAAGACGCAAATAACCTGACGTTTCTGCCATGGAATCTGAGAGGGAGGTGGGTCTTGGGGACTTCAGAAAGGCCCAATGGTCATTGCCGACACGGGGGAGCTGAGAAGGCGGACGTGATGGAATGGGCGATATATGGGCTCAGTAAGCCCTGTGGTGGTTCGGGGTCGGTTCACAAAAATTCTCTCGCCACCATCGCAGCTGGTTGTTCATGTGCCCACTCTCCTGTCGACTATCATCCACATAAGGCAAGGTCAGTTCGCGAATGGACGAACTGATGCCGGGCGCTTGATGGATCGCCAGATCCCAGATTCCGGTTCGTAGTGGTTCGTTCTCAATGTTGCCGTGGTGAGCAGACCCCTCACTCAGCTTCCCCATGTCAGACCGCCTCATCAGCATGCCCTCTCGGAACTCCCCCAATCTCCATATAGGCCCGGCCCTCCGAACCTGATCTATTTATTGCGCGACGTATTACAAGAGCGCTCAACACCCGCCTTAAATCGCCGCTGATCGTCTGCCCACCTCAGTTCTCCCCACTGTCCCAACTCAGTGTCGAGCACTAGTCAAACGAGATGGCGTTCTTCGACTCAGAGAGGCTCAAGGTGGCCGCAGTGGTCACCTTCTACATGTCCTCGGCACTCATCGTGAGTCGGAACGCGTTCTTACGAGGCTGAGCACTGATAACCTACTCTAGATGGTGTTTGTGTAAGTCTTTCTGTCTACGAAGGAAGAAGCCTTTTGTTAAGAGGCCCTCAGAAACAAGGCTGTATTGAATAGCTCTCCAGACCTTCCCTTACTTTTCCTCCTTCTCCAACTCCTCATCGCTGTTGTACTTCTCCATGGCACGGCGGCCGTATCCGACAAAGTCAAGATTCCGAAAGTGGAGATCGAAGTCGCCAAAAAGCTCTTCCCTGTTGTTGCTGTCAACATTGTCGGTCTTGTATTCAACACCCTCTGTCTTCGTGATGTGGAGGCTTCATTCTTTCAGGTGCGTTGAAATTTCGTTTCTCCGACAAATGTACGCTGAAAATTTATAGATCGCAAGAGGACTTGTACTCCCGCTCACGATAGCGGTTTCTTCACTCTACAGTCGTTCTTCACCATCCCGCATGGTCCTGGTGTCCGCTACCGTTGTGACTCTCGGATTCATGCTCGGCGTTGCCCCATCATCCTCGCTTCCTGTGACGGCAATTCCATCCACTCTTTCCCTCTTTTACGGCGTTCTCTCGTCGCTTTTCATCGCATTCCACGCCGTTCTGATCAAGAACTCTTTGCCGTATTGCAACAATTCCACCATTGAGTTGGCTTGGTGGACCAATGCCGGCTCGGCTATCCTGATTTTCCCGTTCGTCATTCTCCATGGCGAACCATTCAAGCTCTACGGGCTCTCGCAGAGCACTAGCTGGAATAGCACTACGTTCATTTGGGGAAGCCTTGTTACGGGCCTGTTCGGCTTTTTGCTATGTGTTGCGGGCTTGCTGAGCATCAAGGTCACCAGCCCGATCACCCACATGTTCTCCAGTGTAAGTTTTCCGTCGCTTGACAGAGCAACACGATTGGCTGACGGATCGCACTACCAGGCCGCCCGATCCGTCCTTCAGACAGCTCTCGGAGTCCGGATATTTGGCGACATCCTCACTGTGTAAGTTCGTCACACGAGCAGCGTATATTCGTTGTTGACACCTTTTCCTTCTCCAGTAACCGCGCCATCTCTATCACTGTCATTCTGGGTGGCACTATGTAAGTATTTTTGCCAACTCTCCGTCGAGTATTCCGACCAACGCCTTGACAGGTTATATACATGGATCAAATCAACGGGCCCAGCTACGCCGCCACCTTCCAAAGCTCCAGCGGACGTGGAGCTCGGCAATCGAGAGGGTCAAGAAGAAACTACTGTGCTATGGCAGATGGAGGAAGACAAGGACGAAAAGAAATGAATTTTTTCTCTCTCTCGGACAATGGACACGCGGATTGGTACTTCCTTCGGACTTTTCGTGGACTCTGTCATGTTACTTGGAGTCTATAGGCTAACATTAGACTCGATTGCGGTGTACCCTTACAAAGAGGTCTGTAAATGCATCATGGATCAAGCTCTCTAATGTCGCTCACGGAGGAGCGGAACGACGGCGTTAAGTGGTCGTACATAAGCAGATGGAGAATGGGCCCCGGTGGGTGCTCTCGGTGCTGATCTCCGACTCACAAATGAGTCGCGAAGGCGAAGGCATGTGTTGCGCTGTCGCTATTCCGAGAATCCAAGAGAGTTAGTTCTCTTCGACGCACTGGGGCTGAGGAGGCCTGGCCAGGGTCTTTAGGACAGCTTTAAGCCTGAACCTTCAACCTTCAAGTTGAGTAGTGATCAACTCTGAAGATCTGACGTGTAACACCGCCCGGTAGTTAGATTGACGTCTGTCGGTCATTTTGCGCTGTCTGGTCCCACCAGTGGGTATCAGGCCCTGGATTCCATGAGCAGCCATTCGAGCCCAACGTCGAGTCTACAGCCTTTCAACTCCGATGTGCTTGTATACATCCAGGTTCTTCACAAATCAATTTGAAGATGTGAATTTAGTGGTGACAGTTGTTTGATTGTCTTGTATTTTTAGCGACCCACATAGGGAGCGTGCGGTCGAGAGCGGTGTCGATAACTGCGAAAGATACCATAGGAAACAGCGAAGTGTCGATACGCCGGGATAAATAGTCGTGACAATATATCAGATAATTGGGGAGAGAAGGAAGGAAGGGGCGGAAAGAGGCCTTCGCGGCATCAATATGTAAACGCCGGATCCGGTGTTAACGGGCCGTATTGAGCTGGCTCGTCTCGTGGTTCAGTTCGCTTAAGGTGATTTGTACCACAACTCGATTCGAAGAATTCCTTCGGTCTGATGGGCTTCACTCCAGATCTATCTCGGCAGGCAATCTGCACCCCCTGATTATATTTGTATTTTTACTGGATCAGCGGCTCAGCAGAGAGCGCTTTTAAGCCCCCTGCTGTCCCCGTCGACCCACCCATCTGTCGTACCATGGCCAGCTCTGTACTCGTCCTTCCACCCATCGCTGCCTCTACCCGTTTGGACGTCGTCTTTGACGAGAAAATATCTCTCAAGGAACGCGTCCATCTTCCCGAAACTCTCGGCATACAGGGAAAGGTCAACGTCGCCCCCGCACTTTCGAGCTCTAATGGCGAGACTGTCGACAAGGGTCTATCCTCCAACCACGTAGAACGACAACTCGGCGAGACAGAAGTCTCCTACTTCCTACCTTCTCGGGAGAGCGGTGTAAACGACATGTGGGTCCCTCTGTCTTCTCATCAAAAACCCTGTAACAATTGGCAAATTCCCCTTTGTCACCGGCAAGGTATCTGCATTTAGGATGCCGCGCGTCTGCGAGCCTCGTGCAGCGTGAGCGCGTCGCGCTGGTCTGGGCTATCATGCGTGTACGACACCCACTTCTTGCGTCGAGGGTCACGATGCATGGATATCATGATATCCGTTTCGAGTGAGCATGATGATCGTCGCACCCGATATCGTGGGGCAAGTGGAGCTGACACGGGACCAAATGCTTAAAGATACAATGCGCCACTCTCACCATTTGAGGCTCTCGAGGAGGCAAACAGGGCACTCGAATACCGTTTCCAGACCAAAGATGGTTAGTACGTCTTCGCGGGTCTTGAATTTTTTTTTTCTGAACTCAATTTCGCAGAGCTTATCAGCTCTTATCTCAATGGTCCGAGGACACTGTCGAGCAATCGACTTTCTTATCTCGTAGTCTCGAGCAGTGAGTCCGAACAGGAAGGGGAACAAGATTACCATTTTTTGATTTGCGCCACACACTTCCTCGGTGACGGAATGGCGCTCCATCAATTCGCTAACGACTTCTTCGGACTGCTCGGCGGTTCCTTGGACCTGGCCAGTCTCGGCCAAAAACTTTCTGACGAGTGGTCCCAGCGAATCAAGTCAGACGGTGATAAGGTAGTGCACAAACTGTGGATATTTTCTAGTGCAGAAATCGCTGACCGGGAGCTCCCAGGGCCCGACATTACCTTCTTCCGTAGAAGATCGACTGCCCCAGGCGTCAACGTCAAGGTGGAGTCGAGCGACAGCTCGTGTCGACTTCGACCAGGCACAAAGGAAGCTAATCGTAAGTCGGGTTGATCTTTTCGGCTTAGCGTTCTCCAATATATCCCCTCCAGGGCGGACATAGCTTCCCTCGAGCCAAGAAGGGCCCCAGACACACGATAGTTCCAACCGTGTCATTCGAGCGCGATGTAACGAAGACCATCCTCAAGACGTGTAAAGCTCGAGGCGTGTCCATCTCCGCTGCTCTTTTCGCGATTTGCAATATCGCATGGGCACGAACGCGCTCAGAGGGCTGGGATCTACCGATGTAGGATATCAATTTATGCGTCCGAGATTAACGCCAATCCTTCTCTCTTAGTATGATGTACTCTGCCCTTAATATGCGACCGAATCTCCTCGCCGACAAGCACCTCAACGACTCGTACTGGTTCCTCGCCATCGGGTACTTCAACGTCGTACTTCCTACCTTCTTCCCGAAGTCGGGCGACGCGAGCCAGATGTTCTGGCATCGCGCGCGTTCGGCGAAGACACAGAGTGTCAAGGCGGCGAAGAGCCCCATGAACGTCTCGCGCTGTAGGGAGATGGCGAACGAGCGCGGTGCGAGAGCGCGTGTTTGGGCAAAGGAAGACGACGACAAAGCAGCAGAAACAGTTGCGCTCAAGCCTGTTCTTGCTTCGGACCCTATCAGCCAATCGCCTTCGAAGCCCAAGGTTCCTTCGGCCGCGCTCATTGGCTTGTCCCTCCTTGGGAATCTGGACGGGATATACAAACATGCGAATTTCCCTACGATCAAGCTGCATACATTGACGACTGGGTCTCGCCAGCGTGCAGGTGGTATGCTCTTATTCGGGTACACCTTCGTGGACAAGTTATGGATAAGTCTAGGGTATGACGAGAATGGTTTCGAGGAAGGAACAGTCCAGAAATTCTGGAAGAACGTGCTTTCCACTGTCGACGAGTTCCTTTACAATGTGATTATTTAATAATTGGACCATAGATACTCATAATTCTTATCTACGTATTGCAATTCAGGACACTTGGACATTTTCCTTCTCGCATGCTTCACCTTAGCTATTTAAAAGGTTGCTTTGTGTTTCAATCAAACCAAAGGAAAAGTCAAGAGGAAACTCCGTGTGCAATTGTTCGAATGAAATGAGGTAAAATACAGTGATATGCGCTCTACAACTCCGATTATTTAAATATGCGTCATAGTAGTCGTGGTATGAGGGTTGAGATTGGCCACCATCTACGCCTTAGAGGCCTGGGGCTTCAGCAGGTAGGCGCTGAATATTAGGCGATTAGGCGCCGAGCAAGGCTAAAATTGAGTATGAAATACACACCTTTGTCTCCTGTATGCTTGCCACGCAGCGCCGCCGAGGAGTGCTTCGATACTTGTCCAAAGGAAGATAGTCTAGAATAAACGTATCAGTTCGAGATTCTTTTGAAGAGAAGACGTCCTTGTGCGAACCTTTCTGCGGGCGAGGAAGAGGTTGTACATGGTGATGTAAAAGAAACGGTGTTAATGGCCGGTTTGGTAGTACAGAAGCTAAGAAGCTCTGATCCCTTGGTTGTGTTGTGAAGCTTTGTGGTGGTGAAGATCTTTCCCCAGAACAAGGCGAGCTTTTATACTCGACACAGCATCCCGCAGAGTCGAGCGAGACCGTTCGACGACCTGAGGCTCCAACGCCCTGGACCACCTTAGGGCGCTCGACTCACCCGTCATGGTCCGTCATGCAGCGAACAAGGAGAGTGGGGTGATCTTGACACAACCCCGCGCTATCGTTCGTCCGTTTACTAGGCTGTCGTCGACGGTCCCGAAGAGGTCGAGTTCAGGAGGAGTTCCCCAAAAAGGAATGTCGAGATCAGTCGAGACAGACGCAAACAAGGAGATAAGCGCTCTAGACCCCGGCCCGCGCGCCTCGGGGCTCATTCCACATTCTAGGCGGTGCACACCTCGACATCGCGGTTCCGCTTCCTCCCGAGGTGGTCATTAGTGTACAGGTTTTGGTTTTACAATAAGGCGGTCAGGTGTGGCCTACAGATCAGGCAACTCTCGCTGTATCAGCCGCGTCCAAGTCGTCTCCTTCCACCAGTCATCCATGCTGTCTATGCGGTCCCACAGCGTCTCCTCATCGACCCCGTAAATCTCGTACTTCCCGCCATTAAGCGCCTGCCCTTCGCGCTTCGCAACCTCGATCGCGGCCTTGTTGTCGCCTCTAATTGATGCGGAGTTAGTATAAAGCCTATAGCATAATGAAGGAAGACGTCATACTTCAGAAGCTCGAGTAACTCCTTTCTCTCGGGGAAGAAGAGGCGTGGCTCCAGAACCGCGAGAATTCCGAGAGATGCTCGGTAAAGGAATGAGTCACCTTCCAGTAGCAATACATCCCATATTCGTGCGCATGCCTCAAAAGGTAGGTGGTCGAGAAACAGTGGTAGAAGCCAGTCAGGTAGGTATGCCCCAGGTGAAATCTGGTGTTGCTTAAAATTGAAATAAACTGCGTACTGATTAGGGGACTAGCTCTGGGAAGCAACGGCGCTACGTACTTTTCGGCATTCCATCGGCGAGCATGGTGTCAAATATTCTTGAATCA